ACAGGCCTCTCTCATCTTTTTAAGTGGGAGAACTTGCACAATTGGTGGCTGACTAAATACTTTTTTTCCCCACTGTATATATATACTGTATATATACTGTATATAGTGTGAGTGTGTATAAATCCGTTTTTATTTATTTATTTTTGTGACACTATATTCATTACAGTTGTACGTAATTACGTTTTAAATTACGTTGGCATTGCGGTAATATTATTTTTAGGAAGCTGGGACAAGATGTGTATTCCCTTTTAATAATTGCTGGAATCTAGCCATTTTGATGCCGGATAAACAGACTTAGAAACGACAAACAACAAGTGCTACTCTACACTGCTCAAAACTCGCGTTTGAATCATCAGTGGCAAATTCTTTGAATATGAAAACATACTTACAGGTTGTGAGTCAGAACAGCCGGCATTGTAGGTTCAGGAAACAGTCTTCCGTTAAATGCGTAGCACACACACACGAATATTTGGTTTGAACTGTTCTGGAACAGTGTTGTAAATACAACTTAACCACTGATTTCTACTTGTGCCCTCTTTTGAAAGGCCAAGCAAAGTAGTTTCACTTTCACAAAGGAACACACAGCGTCTCCACGACATGGCGGCGGTGGCAACAACAATACTACAGCAAGAATCAAAGTTGTTACTCCTTTCTTTGCGTGAACATTTGGGCAGTGTTATGCAAAACTTCCCACACAGTGACGTAGACATGTGGGGGTGTGTTTAAGCGAGGCGTTTTTGGAGGGCGTGGACGAGTCTTTAGTCTTTGCAACTTTAGGGATCTTATCTATGTACGAACAGATTGTAACACTCCAAAGTCCAAAATCGCATCATATGACTCCTTTAAATACACAAGCAATAAATATAATGAAACATAGATATTAAAGAGAACATAATTATAAAAAAATGTATGCATGCATGTTTAAAACCACATATCATATGGCTTTGAGTAAAAGTAGGTCTTAAGATGTTTTTTTTTTTTTCAGCAATCGTTATGCATGTGTTTTTACTACTTTTAAATTAAATAGTGTGACTTTATATCGGCCACCCGGCTCTCTAAGATATCTGTATCGTCCATCAAAAATCTAAATCCTTTTTAGTCAACCACTGGGTGGAACCCAAAGATTTGTTTTGTCCTTTTTTGTTTTATTTGTTTCTTTTGGGGTGAGGTTAGAATCAGTATTCTGAGGCTTCACTTTACAGCAGATAGTAAAAGCAGAATCTCCATCATTAAAAATGGCCCAAAAATTAAATATGAAAGTGGTTATCAGTGTCATTTCATTTCACTTGCAGATGCAGTATGACCTCTTGTGACCTCTGTCGTTAAATTAAGCTGCCTCGTCTCTTTTATAATTGCTGTCCACCTTCCAGTTTCTTTCTACCCAGTGGCAGAGCATTAAAACTGAAGGTCTGAAGATCATACTCTCTGCAGAAGGCCAGGTGCGGTTTAAGCCGCCAGGAGTGGTTCATCCAGTGGACACGCATGATTTAGCTTTAACTCTGGAGGCCTGAGGTCAACAGCTTATATTTTCAGAGGGCCAGCAGAGAAGAGAGCCTTTCATCAGCAAATCTCCAGCCAATGCAAGTCTGTTCAGAGAGGAAACCGAGAGGGAGGGAGGGTTAGAAACTGTATTATCAAGGTCACAACTTCATCAGGAAACAGGTGTCTCCAGCTAAAGTTTATAGACTGTAATTTTAAACGATTGTCATCCAGCCTTCCAAATAAAGATGTGCCTTCTAACCTGTGGGATTTTTTTCTCCCTCCTTGGCTGCAGGTTTTGAATTATGGCTTTTGCACATAAGACAATGTCCTTTAGCTATGGCTGTCGGTCATAAGTTGCTACTCTCAGCTAAAGGAAGCGAAATGTTTAGACCTTTTGTAATTTTTGTAATCTTCATCCCTTATTCATGTTGTTGTTGTATTGGCAGTGTTTTGCTTGGCAGACAGTTTTACTTTAGCACTTGGGAGATGTTCATGTTTTGTTAACAAAGTAAACATAAATGTATTTATGCAGTTTGCCATTAATTGAGAGAATTAGTGGTGTTTGTGTTTTTACTGTTGTGCGTACTAAGTGTTAAACTTTGGCATGTAATGAGACTCGCACCATTTGTGCTAGACGTAAATGATACCTCAAATGATAATGACTTGTTGAGTGCTGTCAGACTTTAATGGTAAAACAGGTGGAAAGACTAGACTTTGTACCTGAACTAATGTGCTTGAAAGATTGTGTGTGTGTGTGTGTGTGCGTGTGTGTACATATGTGCGTATACGTATGTGTGTATAAATTGCGTCTAAAGTTGAACACGGTTAACTTTATTCATCTTTTGTATAAAACCAGTATTGCATTTGGAATCGTGCAGATATTTGGAATAAACCACACTCTTGCTCACGTGATATTGCTATACTAAAAGCTAGGGATGTAACGATTCACTCAATTCACGATTCGATTCAAGATTTTGATTTCACGATTCGATTTACAATTTAAAAAAGAAAATTATAAAATTAAATGTGTTCTTTTATTATTGCTTGGACAAAATACTGCGCGTTTCTTTGTGGAATTGAAATATAACACTATAATAATATACTAATATTTAGCACTTGTATATTATTGCTCTTTTGTTGATTTTGATTGCTTCTATTGTCCTCATTTGTAAGTCGCTTTGGATAAAAGCATCTGCTAAATGACAAAATTTTAATATAATGTAAATGTAAATAACAAAACTAAATAGAAATTTTAAAACGGGCCCCAAATCAAATACATAAGTAACACAAATAAAATAAATCTCTTCATATAAACAAACTAAGGCTTTTTCTGTGCTCTTTCCATAGAGGCAACCACTGCATTTTAATCATGATCCAAACAAAGATGCTGCATACATGCAACATGAGCAGTTTTTAATCTAAATTAGATGGTATAATTTCGAAATTTGTAGCAAAAACAGAATGGTTTGACTTCAGTTTTGTGAAACTATACATAAAAAAATATCTGCATGAAACCGAAACAGCAGACGAGCTGAATGAAACGCAGATTCACTCTCTGCCAGCAGGTGGCGCTTAAAGCATTTCCTTGGTTTCCGCTGTAAACAAAGCAGCGCTGCACTTATGAACTTTAATATGCATTATACAGAGGCAAGATGAAAAGAGAAAATACCATCTAAACTTTTCTAAAGACATTAAGTTCCTCTCAGACATACATTCATATAAACTCCTACGCCTAATTAAATCGCGATTTGTTTAGCATCTCAACCCATTTGAATCGTCACCTATTTGAATCGATTTTCAACCGGCTCGCGGTAAATCGTTACGTCCCTACTAAAAACCCATGCAAGAGCTCATTTTATGAAAAGGCCACTCATATTGTGAAAAATTCCAAATCCATTTAATTTATGAAGTTTAGCTGTACTTTGAGCCTAGTGATAAATATTTGCCTCTCGTAACCTTGATGTTTATGCTTCTGATTAATGTATATAATCATGTTTTCCAAATACCACAAAACCCTTACAGGCAATCTCACTGTGATTAACTATATTATAAAATGCCCTTGAAACATCTTGAGAGATTTTCTTTTTGTTTTTCAGGTATCTGTATCTTTTGTTCTCCGACGACGACCATTTGCCCTTCGAACACTGGATGTTCAACACGGAGGCCCATCCTCTTCCTGTCATTAAGAAACAGAACCCAGAAATAGCAAACCAACTCAAGTAATCTTCATCCAACCCCAAAGCGCCACTGAGACGTAACTTCCTGAACCTGCTTTAACAGTGGACAAGAGCTATGGACGCAGCCCCCCTGTGGCTGGAGAGTTCTTTTCCTCCAGGACTTCTGCTGGAGCTTCACGTGTTTCTCCACAGCTGTCTCTTCTCGGGATTCTGCATGCTGCCCTGTCACCCCTCTCTCTGTCCCTGATTCTGTGGGCACGTCTCTGAGCCTCAGAGACCCAGAAGGAACATATTTCCTCTGTGAGGAGACCGAACCAGATCATTTTCCATCGTACTTGCCCTCTCACACATGTTATAAAGCCATAGGTAATTACATCAAATTGCATCAACGTCTGTTTGTGTTTTTTGCATCATGTGTGTTTACAGGAGCGAAGCTAAGAGATATCCACTGAACTTCGCCGTCTCTTGCTGTCTGTTTCTTTCGGGATGAGGTTTGGTTTGGTGTTTTGAGGCTTTATTCGACAGCAAGATAGTGAAACCAATTTAACTAGTGCCTTTTAGTCTTACTGATCATTTTAGTCAAGTTTTAATATCGCTGTATTTATTTTCGCTGTGACCGAAGGTTTCTTCCTACTGGCCTACAGCCCTCCTACCCTCTTAATGGATGTAAGAATCAGTCATGTATCATTCATTCCTCTACATTTGTGAGCTTACTTTGTTTCTTAAAATGTGTACAAAATGTGTTTTGATTGTTTACTTAATCAATGGAGGAAAGACATGTAAAATAGAGTACTTTGTGTTAATTTATTACTCAAGATGTAGGGATTTTGTTGTCTTTTTTCAGTGTGGAGGCAGACTCTAAGAGGACACAATGATAGGAAAAAAATATGAGATGAGAGGAAAAATGTACAATTCAATGCATTAAAAACTATTGTGTTTTCCCGAGAAGCTTTACGTTCGCTCGCAAACACACTAAAATTAAATTTTTCCTCCCACTTCTTTAATTCCATTCCAAAAATGTTGCAAGCAAATGCAAAACATTTGTGAGCAAGCAAACGTTTTTTTATAAGCAAAAAATTCTATATGGAACGCAGGTTTTGTGAGCGCAAACAAAGGTTTGGCGAACGAAAGCAAAAGTTTCTCTGTGGAACGCTCAAGTTTCGCAAGGGAATGCCAAACTTTTTGTGAGAGAACGCTAAAGTTTTGAGCGCGAACACAACGTTTTGCTGTGGATTGCAAAAATTTTGCAAACAAACGTTTTGTGAGCAAATGCAAAAGTTTCACAAGTGAACGCAAAAGTTCCTCTGCGGAACGCACAAAGGTTTCGCGAACAAGCGCAAAAGTTTCAAATTTTTTCGGGGGAATGCTGAATTTTTTTGGAGGAACGCAAACGTTTTTGTGAGCGAACCCAATAAAACGCATCAGCATTGAAATATAATTTTTCCTCCCATCTAATCATCAGGTCCTTTTAGGAGCTTTGGAGTAAACCGCAATGAAGCTGCTCGAATCCATTGGAAAAGTGTTTTATTAGGACAACACGGGCAGCATCAGTCAAAAAGGGGGAGTGAATATTTGTATGAATGTACCACCAAATGTGAATTGGACATATTTTGGCCTAATTGTTGTGATTTATCATTTTATCTGTTTGTTTGTTTGTTCATTTGATTTAACATGAAAGCACAAAGTTGTGAATCAGTATATTCGGGTTCTCCGTGAAAAATAGGAATAATATTCCTGTAGGACAGTGTGACAGCACAAGTGAGGAATTTCAATGGAAAAAGATGCAAACCAATGAATGCAAAGCAGTCCACGGCACTGGATACAACACATACAAAAGAATCACATACACTAGATCTATTACACTTCACATAGCCACATTCCAATTCATAGAGGAACGGACCAATTCCCATCTTATTTGGGAATTTGTCACCTCAAATTTGAGGCTTGAAACGCAGGATTAAGGTCTGTTGTGGAGTGGGGCTGATGCTAGCGTCTACATTTAGACAGTATTCCCAAAACTAAACCACCCTACTTAACTAGCATGGTGTGGTGCGTTAACCAATGTATTATACTAGTGGATCTACGTGAAAAAAAATACCTCGCAGAGATTCCTCTCTTGAGGCCAGTGACTGCAACACTTGACATGGTATTTCTCCGCTGTATGTGTGCTAGTGAACGGCATACTGTCGGAGTTAGGAACCGCAACATATGAAAGTAACATCATCTCGTGGGAGGCCCGTCATAAAACACTGTGACACTGTAGATAAGACATCGCGCTCACTGTATTCATGATACTGCAAATCGAAACTATGTTTAGCACTGCCGCCGCATAGCGCGGACTAGCGATTTGTGCTGTCTCTTTAGTGAAAGTGATTCCTCAAGCTGTGACTGAGGATCCGTAGCGACTCTTAGATGACATTCGGGAACAGACGTTTCCTCGCATCTGGTTTGCGATACTCAGAATAGGAGATGTGCTTTTCAGATTAAGAATTTGTTGTTTAAATATTGTGTTGATCTTGCATAGAAAATGCCTTTTTGTTTGTGATTCTTGTCCTTTATGTCTTCATGAGACAACCTCAGAAATGTAACTGTACAATATTGCTGATAATCATTCCATTGCACATAGTCTGATTTTGTTTGTTTTGATTCGTTTTTTCTTTAATATATATGCAATTAATTTTGTGGTAAAGTGGTTGATGTTTTTTTTTTTTTATTGTACATATCTCATTCTGGCAAACTGCCAGCCATCATTTATATAAATCATATGATCTTATGTAATAAATTATATTAAAGAGCAGCAAAGGTTTTTGATAAACTATATTTGTTACACTTCAATTGTGAATAAAACAATCTTTTAATATAATACTGAGTTGTTGTTTTTAATAGGGATTTCTTGTTTTGTTTTTTTTAAACTCCTTTTATTCAAATTTATCATTAAATTATACATTTTACAGTACATTCATGCTTAGTGGCGGATCTGACTCATACAAGGCTGACGCTGCAGCGCGGACTAGCGATTTGTGCTGTCTCTTTAGTGAAAGTGATTCCTCAAGCTGTGACTGAGGATCCGTAGCGACTCTTAGATGACATTCGGGAACAGACGTTTCCTCGCATCTGGTTTGCGATACTCAGAATAGGAGATGTGCTTTTCAGATTAAGAATTTGTTGTTTAAATATTGTGTTGATCTTGCATAGAAAATGCCTTTTTGTTTGTGATTCTTGTCCTTTATGTCTTCATGAGACAACCTCAGAAATGTAACTGTACAATATTGCTGATAATCATTCCATTGCACATAGTCTGATTTTGTTTGTTTTGATTCGTTTTTTCTTTAATATATATGCAATTAATTTTGTGGTAAAGTGGTTGATGTTTTTTTTTTTTTTATTGTACATATCTCATTCTGGCAAACTGCCAGCCATCATTTATATAAATCTTATGATCTTATGTAATAAATTATATTAAAGAGCAGCAAAGGTTTTTTATAAACTATATTTGTTACACTTCAATTGTGAATAAAACAATCTTTTAATATAATACTGAGTTGTTGTTTTTAATAGGGATTTCTTGTTTTGTTTTTTTTAAACTCCTTTTATTCAAATTTATCATTAAATTATACATTTTACAGTACATTCATGCTTAGTGGCGGATCTGACTCATACAAGGCTGACGCTGCAAGAGAATAAACAACTGATTTTCTTTTTATTATTATTGTGTGACGGCCATAAAGATGCGTCCAACAGGTCTGTTGGAATTAAAATGCTTTCCATAAATTGTATGCAACTAATGGTTACATCTATTTATAATTCAATCCATCTATTGTTCTACAGTATTTATCGTTCTATCTATATATATTCTATCTGTATACATGTCGTTCTTTCTCTCTATAGTACTATTGTTCTATCATTCTGTCATTATGTCTTTGTGCCGTTCTGTCTATAATTGTATCATTCTTTCTGTCGCTCTGTCTTTTCAACATTCTATAGCTCTATCATTCTGTCATTATATCATTATGTCTATGTGCCGTTCTGTCTATTATTGTATCATTCTTTCTGTCGCTCTCTTTTCAACATTCTATAGCTCTATCATTCTATCTATCATTCTGTCATTATATCATTGTCTATGTGCCATTCTGTCTACTATTGTATCATTCTTTCTGTCGTTCTATCTTTTTAACCGTTCTATAGCTTTATCATTCTATCAATCGTTCTGTTCTACCTATTGTTCGATATAGCTATCGTTCTGTCTATCATTGCTTTCTGTATATCATTATGTTTCCTCGCATCTGGTTTGCGATACTCAGAATAGGAGATGTGCTTTTCAGATTAAGAATTTGTTGTTTAAATATTGTGTTGATCTTGCATAGAAAATGCCTTTTTGTTTGTGATTCTTGTCCTTTATGTCTTCATGAGACAACCTCAGAAATGTAACTGTACAATATTGCTGATAATCATTCCATTGCACATAGTCTGATTTTGTTTGTTTTGATTCGTTTTTTCTTTAATATATATGCAATTAATTTTGTGGTAAAGTGGTTGATGGTTTTTTTTTTTTTATTGTACATATCTCATTCTGGCAAACTGCCAGCCATCATTTATATAAATCATATGATCTTATGTAATAAATTATATTAAAGAGCAGCAAAGGTTTTTGATAAACTATATTTGTTACACTTCAATTGTGAATAAAACAATCTTTTAATATAATACTGAGTTGTTGTTTTTAATAGGGATTTCTTGTTTTGTTTTTTTTAAACTCCTTTTATTCAAATTTATCATTAAATTATACATTTTACAGTACATTCATGCTTAGTGGCGGATCTGACTCATACAAGGCTGACGCTGCAAGAGAATAAACAACTGATTTTCTTTTTATTATTATTGTGTGACGGCCATAAAGATGCGTCCAACAGGTCTGTTGGAATTAAAATGCTTTCCATAAATTGTATGCAACTAATGGTTACATCTATTTATAATTCAATCCATCTATTGTTCTACAGTATTTATCATTCTATCTGTATACATGTCGTTCTTTCTCTCTATAGTACTATTGTTCTATCATTCTGTCATTGTCTTTGTGCCGTTCTGTCTATAATTGTATCATTCTTTCTGTCGCTCTGTCTTTTCAACATTCTATAGCTCTATCATTCTGTCATTATATCATTATGTCTATGTGCCGTTCTGTCTATTATTGTATCATTCTTTCTGTCGCTCTCTTTTCAACATTCTATAGCTCTATCATTCTATCTATCATTCTGTCATTATATCATTGTCTATGTGCCATTCTGTCTACTATTGTATCATTCTTTCTGTCGTTCTATCTTTTTAACCGTTCTATAGCTTTATCATTCTATCAATCGTTCTGTTCTACCTATTGTTCGATATAGCTATCGTTCTGTCTATCATTGCTTTCTGTATATCATTATATCTATCATTCTGTCTTTCATTCTATCGTTCTATCATTCTTTGTTGTTCTGTCTGTTTAATGTTCTATCATTCTATCTTTTGTTCTGTTGTATCGTTCTACTTATGGTTCGGTCCGTCTATCATTGTACAGTTTTGCATATCATTCTATCTATCATTTTTTTTTCTATCATTCTGTCTGTTTAGCGTTCTGTATGTATAGTTCTATCATTCTATCTGTCATCCTGTCTATCTCGTTCTGTCTATCTATAGTTCTGTCTTTCATGCTATCATTAAGTTTTCATTCTATTGTTCTGTCTATCATTCTATCATGTTATCTATATATCTGTCTGTAATTACAATCTAAACAGTGATTAATGCTGTTTAGACTTGTTTATGGCAGGATTAATAGGTGTATTCCTTTGATCTCATTTTTATCATTTTTTTTCCATTTGCAGTTTAGAAAGTTTTGTATACAACTGGAACAGTTAGAGGACATAACAACTTGGTTTTTATATATATATATATATATATATATATATATATATATCCTTATAAATCCTTTATATGTGTGTATATATGTATGTACAGTGTATATATATGTATGTGTGTATATATGTATGTATGTGTGTGTGTGTGTACACATGTGTGTATATATGTGTATATATATGTATGTGTGTATATATGTATGTATGTGTGTGTGTGTGTACATATGTGTATATATGTGTATATATATGTATATATAAAGCCATAGTGGATTCATAAATCAACTATGATAATGATAACCAAAAGGTATGAATGTATCCTATGAATAAAACAACTGTACAACAACAGGAAGAGACAGGTTTTAGCTATTTTAAAGCAACAAAGTGAGACAGTTGAAGCAGAATAGGAAGAAAGAAAATGCAATAGCCACGGGGTAAAGTAAAAGTGAGAAAGAATAGGAAATATCGATAGAAAAGAAATAGAAACAAATTTGCTGTTCACTCAGAACATTAGAGGAAATGATGTCACAAGACATAATAAAGCTGTTCAGCCACAAAGTCAATTTGTAGGCCGACACAAAAAGCTAATTAGCCATGGGTTCCCTCGGGAACTTCTAATGGGCTTTCAGAATAGCTTGGATAAATAATCATTAAAAAATGATGTATTTAGCACGTTACGTATGCATATGTTAATTATTTGTATAAAACGAGTCTCTTCAAATAATATTAACCACAGATAAACACCTTATTTTCCTGTCATGAATGATGCAGAGCTTTTGAGCTTTTGTTAATTGTGTTCTTGGTTAACACTTCACATTACTGTGTTCATGTTACACATATTGGACAATGAATCAAATTAATTACAACAGCAATGTGTAATTGCAAGCTGCTCCACAAACTAATTGCATATTAAGAACATGATTTTCATTAGTGTTTCTCATTATTCACATAATTACTTACATGGTAACATGAACACTATGATAAGTATGATTGTTTTTTTTGACTTGCTCTGTCTATCTGCAAAAACAAACCACTCATCACATGGCCAAGTCCAATTCTAATGACAGTGCATGTGAGCAGCGCGGGGCCTGAGGTGTACAGGAGATCACGGGTCACAGCTGTGTGCCAGCGCTGAGTGTTTACAGAAGCACAGCAATCACAGGAAATGACAATCTAGTCTTTCATTACGTCTCTCTCTCGCCTGGGGAGAAATCTGAATGGAAGGTATTGTTCTTTTCTGTGACACAGCAAAGGACAAATAATACAGCAGGTGCTCGCTCCCTTCACCCTGTTTGTCTTATACACACACCTGCCATTCATAAGGTCTTCAATTAGGATGTAAAGTTCACATAGGGCTAGCTACTAGTTCTCCTTAAAGCAGCATGAACTTTACCTATATTAATTAACCAAACAGCAGTCAAAATCTGTAAACAGAAATAGTGTTGTAAAAACAATTTTAAAAGTATAGTTCACCCAAACATGAAATGATGTCGTCATTTACTCACCCTCAAGTTGTTCCAAAAGCATATGAGTTTTCTCTCATCTGTTGAACACAAAAGAAGATATTTTGAAGAATGTTGGTAACCAAACAGTTGCTGGTCCCCATTGACTTCCATAGTATAGGGAAAAAATAGTCAATGAAATAGTCAAAATGAAAACGTATCTGGATATTTGGGTTAAACTGTTCTGGAACAGTGTTGTAAATACAACTTAACCACTGATTTGTAGTCGTGTCCTCTTTTGGAAGACCAAACAAAGTAGTTTCGCTTTCACAACGAAACACACGGCGGCCTAGCGTGAGCTGAGGCCGGGCTAGAGTGAGCG